ATGGATGGATTTGTTCAGTGCTTTGTTTGTTTGTTTTTTTAAAAAAGGTGTTGGAACTCACAGACGTCATACAACCCCCCTTGCCTACCCTACAAGATTCCATCCGAAAAAGGTGCCGGAACTCCATTCTGGGCGTTCTATGAGAAAAAAAGCCCTGGGTTTGTTATTATTAATTATGGTGAAGAAGATGGAACTTCCTGAAATGGTTAATTTACTTCTTTGATCAGAGAAAATGTTTATTAATGACTGGAAACCTCTTACAAATGCTTTACATGATAAGAATAAAAATGAACTTATGATTTATGGTTTTGATGCTTTGACAGAATAGATTTTAGAAAAAAGGTTATGTTATAATTAAAAAGTAAGAATTAAATTTATAACTGTAGTTATAACTGTTGTAAAGAAAATCAGAAGCTACTTCATCATAGCTTTATTCTTTCCTTTCTAGTTCTTTTTTTGCTTTTAGCTTTCCCTTAGCTTTGTTTCTTTTTTTTCTTTTTCTCACTTTATATTAGCTTATAATAGTTTTTTCTTCCATTTAAAAATTCTTTCAATAAATTTACAATATGTATGTTTGTTATTAAAATCATCTGCACTAATTCTACTTAATTTTGTATGTTTCCCGTTGTCTGACCCTTTTTGACCCTATCCCCTTATTACCTTTATAAAACTCAATAAAAATATTTATTAAAAAAGGAATATCTTTTTTCTTTCTTTCTTTCTTTCTTTCTTCTCTCTCTCTCTCTCTCTCTCTCTCTCTCTCTCTCTCTCTCTCTCTCTCTCTCTGCCTCTCTCTCTCTGTCTCTCTGTCTCTCTCTCTGTCTCTCTCTGTCTCTCTCTCCCTTTCTACATTTTTATATATTATACACTGATATCCCCTAAACTCTGCTGAAGATGTTACCTAGCCAGATAATGAAATGTTCAGAAAATAACCCACAAGCTCAGAGAATGAACCTTCACCCTCATCCTACACCTGAACTACGGATATTCACTACTATTGCATTTTTATATTTCTGTATTTCTTGAAAAGACATGATAACAACACAGTATCACTGAGGAGAGTGAGGCAGAGATATCTGTCACTCTTTTAGGTGGGGGAGAAAACTTTTAGAGGGCTCCAGGTGCCAGAGAAATATGTAGGATGGATACTGTGGATACAAAGAAGAAAACACTTCTGAGTTAGCTGAGGACCCATGAAAAATGTGTTTTTTTAATCATTGTAATATATGTTGGCTGTTTAAGGTAGCAAGCATCAGCAATAGCATCTCTCCTCTTCCTCCTTCTTCTCCTCTTCCTCCTCCTCTTCCTCCTCCTCCTCCTCTCAAAGAATTGAATAAATGAAATAATAGGGCATCATGAAATTGCTTTTTCTAGAGCCATATCTTTAAACTACAGTCCACAAATTTTTATTTACGTATTGGAATCTTTTTTGGTGACTAATAATAGCTTTTGAAATTGATAGTAATGTGAAAGGTAAATAAAAATAGCCAACACTGGAATTGAGAAAGAATGTTCCAATTTCTACTTTTGTATAGTCCTGGAGAATAAATATCATCTTTGTGACTCACTGAAAACAATGGTCCATCAAACCCATCAGACTTTTGAAATATTATTTTAATTCAGTAAGCATGGGAACTGATATCATTTTTATTTCCTATCTATCTCTAAGTCTGTTAATCCCCCATGTGCATTGATAAACATTCCTTGGAAATGTATCTACTGCTCATAAAAGCTAAAGGGAATCTGATAAGGAACAACTTTCTCTGTTTTCTCTCTGTGCGTGCACAATATGTTGTCATGTGTAGAGGTTTTGTAGAATTCAACTTCTCTAACTCAAGTTCTGATAAGTTAATATTGTGTAAACTGAACACAATCCATTCTGTTCAACTTTTTATGAGAACACCTAAAACATGAACTTCAAAATTCCAAATATTGCATGTATTCTTCTGATATATCTTACTTTTACTTAAACATTGCTACTTAAACAGTTTCATAATTATCCACATTCTCAGTTACAATAATTTTAATTCTTTATCTCCAGTCTAAATTCTCTTGGTAAAACTGATGAAATGGCTTGTTTTCTCTAGATGCAGCAAATATGAGAAATCATGCTATTGTTTCTGAATTCATACTGCTTGGACTTGGAGATGTCTCAAAAGTGCAAGGACTTCTTTTCTCAGTATTCTTACTGATTTATATATTGACTGGCAATTTCCTCATTATCATTTTGGTTGTGATGAATCAAAATCTCCACACTCCTATGTACATTTTCCTAGCAAATCTGGCTTTTATGGAAGCCTACTGCAGTTCAACAGTTATACCTAAAATGTTGTAAATTCTGTTTACAGGAGATAATAGTATACTTTTCAAATCCTGTTTTATACAGTTTTTTTATATATGCCTGCCTAGGTGGTGCAGAATGCTACATTCTAGGGATGATGTGTTATGACAGATTCAACCCCATATGCAAGCTACTTCATTATACTACTCTCATGAGTGGCAAGCTCAGTTTCTACTTAGTAGCTATATCTTGGACAACTGGTTTCATTGTGAGAATAACCTTAACTTGGAATATGTTATTGTTATCTTATTGTGGCCCCAATGAAATTGATCATTATTTTTTTGATGTTCTTTCTGCCATCAGAGAAATCTCCAACAGTGACACCTACCTCACTGAGTTATTTTCATTTGTATTTACCTATATACTTACCCTGCCTCCATTTGTTCTCATTGTGACCCGTATATTTCCATACTTGTTACTATCCTGAGAATGCCATCTGTTACTGGAAGGCAAAAAGCTTTCTCCAGCTGTTCTTCTCATCTCATAATAGTTTGCTTGTATTATGGAACACTGATGTTCATCTATCTTCTCCCGAGGACCAAGAAATTAACACAAGTGAAGAAATTCTTCTCTGTCTTCTATACAGCTGTGAGTCCCATGATTAATCTTCTTATATATAGTCTTAGAAATATTGAAGTAAAAGATGCCTTGAGAACTGGGTTGGAAAGACTTTTACTGTACATGACACATCACAATGCCAACCATTGGAAATAAGCTAATTGAAAATGCACTGCAAGGCTGAGATACATAGGAATAAATATGTTTCTCTTGTTTTTTTAATGAATCTCCTTTTTTTCAGAAGAATATAAGATTTGGAAGATGATCCAATTAGGACATATTGTTATTTAATGCTTATATGCACACTCAAATAATAGATTCTATGTCTAAATCTAAAATGTATTTCATTATTTTGTGCTTCTGCTTCTTGAAGTACCAAGTACTATAATTGGTCTCTGTATGTGCTATAAATTAATAGGCAAATATTTGAATAATTGTTGCAGAAACTTTTATAAAAATTATTCAATGATATTATTATCATTGTTGAGATATTTAGTTCTCTATCATTTAGCATCTTTATTTAAATAATAATAATTGGATACAGAGACAAACTTTACAGACACAGATAAATGGACAGAGTGATGGGGAGATGGGAGGTAGAGAGAGAAATAGAGAGATTAAATTTTGCCAATAGATATTCTTTTCATCATAGTGCAATCTGCATAAAATGAATTATTGTCATACTTCAGGGAGCCTCTTAGTAGTAGAGTAGTTAGACAAATAAATAATCTTAAAAATGAAGTATAAAAAGCAACAGTATACAACCTTAAATCTCTCCCCAGAGTGCCTTAAAAACTACCTGTCCAAAATATCTTTCCTATGGTAAATTCTACTTGGGTTTAACCAATTAGGACATTTCCTATTTTAACAGTATAAAGATTTCTTTATTATAAGACAGGAGAGATATGTATCTAGTAAATTTTATACTTTCAGTTTCTTTGGATCCTGAGGAAGAAGAATTCATTGCAAAAGGAAATAAGCAAAACGGATTAGTCACTCTGTTAAGTTTTATTTTGATCATTAACCAACAAAAATAATAGTAGATGATAACAATTTAAAACCATCCTAATGTGAACAGTTTTATGTTCATGTTGTGGAAAAAGTAACTAATTTTTAAAATTATTGACACAAATTTATATGCATCTGTAAAGTGCAAGATTGTCTGATCTGGCATATTGTTGCTTTGCCTAAAATAGCCACTGATAAAAAAATTAAGATTATAATGCATTTAGCCTATTTACCTAAATCAAACAGGATTTTTTTTTGTCTGTAAAGTAATTCTGTATAATTAAAAATCTATTATTGGTTATTTGATAGGCTTCATTCAATTTCTGTTACATTTTCTATTTCATCAATTTCATAAACTAGCTAACACAAAATAATGGCTATAAGTTGTATGTACTACTGATATCAAAAATTGTGGGGAAATTATTAAATTGCCAAAGAGTATTGATATGTTGAAAATAAAAATAACAAATAAAATAATTTTTAAAAGCATTTCACAATTTTTTATTTCTCAATATATACACCTACTATATCTTGTCATTCTAATGGATACAATGCAATGGTATACATTTTTTTGCCATCCTTTTTGTAACTTTGGAAGCAAAATTAGACACTGATTCCTCCTCCCTCAGGAAGGGGCTCTAAAATACCTTTACATGGACAATGGCAAAAGAACAAGTATATGGATTCTTCTAGTGATCAATACTCACTGCCTTTGGAAAAACAATCATCAAGAGGGAATTACTATAAGAATAGTCATATTTTTAACCATCAACCTATTATAACTATACTACCCTCATTTGTTTTCCAGCTACATGCATCTGTGCAAATAGGAAAAACATAGACTTATAAAAAGGAGTGTATAAATGTGAATATCTATATAGTCATAAGAAGAAACAGAGTTTTAATTATCATATTCAATATTTTTATCTAGAAAAGCATTTGCAAAATAAAAAAATACTCTATTAAAATATACTGATTATTTAGCTACAAATTATATATTTGAATAAAATAATCCTTAATTCTGGAGTTCTTCAAGATTCTTTGTCCTTGAAATAAAAAGAATATCAACATTCAGATTCAGGATGTAGAGTTGTTAAGGATTTGCTACAGCTTTCAACATTTGCTGGATTTTTTTAGTATTATTTCTCACATTTGTTTTTTCTGCTTTTAGAAGATTTTTAATATCTTGTTCTGAATAAGATAGGTTGGAGGTTTTATACCTTTTGTGCCAGTCAGATATGTTACCTTGGAAAACAAAAAGGATGAAATTCAATAAGCAAGCAAACATTTCCTATAATAATATGCTTTCAGCTTAGAAATAAATCTATACCTATCTTTTGTTTGGTACCCTTCAACATAAATTCAATAAAATATAAAAGGAGATAAAAATCCTTTGAAACAATTAGGGCTTCTTTAAGGACTTAGGAAAAGGCATTCTATAAGCATTAGAAAACAACCTTTGGAAAGATTTCCATAGCAAAATAACATAATATTACGGTAATTATATAAAATAGCAACATTTTTATGATCAAACAGGGTAATTAAAGCTACATCCATAATCCAATCCAATCCAACCTGTCAATCCAGTTTGGAGAATTTATCTGAATGGTAAATTACTGCTAAACATCATAAAAAGGTATTAATTTTAATCTTTTTGCTCAGAGATCATCAAACTGATCGTGTCAAACTGATCCTGGAATATGGGAAATAAATAGTTACATAGTGTGCTCCTTATTTTGTCTATGGAAGACTGAGACCTATTCACTTTGGATTACTTATTAAGAACCTGTAATGTACCTGCACAGTTTACTCTGTTGAAAAGTGGAAAGTGCATGACAGTTGGACCACCATTGCCCCTGAAGATGTAACAGTCTTCAGGGTTTTCTTTATCCTTGTCTAAATTTAGGGCATCAATTTCAGGAAAGGGAAGATTGTTTTCCTTGCAGTATTGACTTGCTTTCTTGATAGTCTGTGGGAAGAGAAGAAGAAGGAAAAGTTATACTTAATAAACTGCAGGACTCTATACTACTGATGAGATGTCTACACTGAGAGGGATTGTATCTATGCAAAAAAGAATGAGTCTGCCATGAATCAGTTATAGTAAGATACTAAACAATCTAGTCCAAGTAAAATAGACCAAGAGAGAAAATTGATATCTGAACTGGATTGGCACTGTTTTTTGTTTTTTTTAATTTTTAAAACAGTGCAGCAGCCAGTGGTGGGACTAAGCTGGTTCGCACCAGTTCAGCAGAACCGGTAGCTAATTTTTTGTTGCCCAGGCCTAGAATGGATTTCCGGAAGCAGCATTCACACAGAGAACTAGTTGTTCACATAGTTGAATCCCACCAATGGCAGAAGCTTGTATGATTTAAGAATGAAAGAGAATGAGACAAGAAGGAGGACACACAACAGAAAACATGAAGGAAAAGTACTAAGAATAGTATCTTTGACTAAGGCCTGTGACAGGGAGTGCAGTGATGAATAAAGCTCCAATTTTGGCTTCCCATATTTTCCCATTTTATCTGATCATTGATTAATTTTGACATTATGTTAGGAATTTTTTTACCTGTTTTCATAGGTATTTCTCTTAATATATTTTGAATAAAAATTACTAATGTTTAAGAGAGAAACAAATTTATGTCAGAATGTACTGAGTATGTATAACCAGGTGAGGTATTCTGAAGTAATTAAAATACCTGAGCTGAAATAATAACAGAATCATATATTGACCATACTGGTTGGGCTTTCACGGCACACTGAGTTGCAGGTTAGCAGGTCACATTGTAGTTTAGTATGCAATGGAAAGTTAACTATTGTGAAGTGCTGCTTCCTAATAAGAAATCTTGATCTCTGGTTAGTCCATAAGAACACAAATTGGTTTGTTTCACAATTTTTGTATACCAGCCCAAACTTAAAATTCTGGATTGTACACCGTACCACACCACACTATAAATCAAAGTCTTATTAGAATAAATGTTTCCAGGGCCTTGCTGGCATGAGATTTGGAGCCAACTATACTTCTGGGGAGAACATATTCCAGAGACTATTATTGAGAAGGCCTGACATCTTGTCCATGTCCCTGCATCTTCCAGGCAGAAGATGTAGTAGGCCTTCTGTCAATGTACAGAATAAGCAAAAAGAATCACACATTGTGAGGTGTTTCACATGTATTCCACCATAGAAGGCTTTATGATAATGGCTAGCACTTTAAATTAGAGCCAAAAGCCTATTGGAATTGATTATAATGATCTAAAAGAGATGTAATTGTACAATACTGGGTTTTGCCAGCTAACCTCTATCAGTTTCCACACCAGCTGCCTCTTGTAAATTGTCTTCACAAGCAGCATCATGTATTTACTTGCAATAGTTCAATCATAATAAAATCTTCCATTGTAGTCCAATTAAATACACACAAAAGGTAGACTGACCAGCCTCTATGCTCTCCCCCAAATATCTGATATCAGAAATTGCACAACCCAAAAAGCAGCATGTCAGTTTTTTAGACCCTTTCTCACTGACTTCAAATTTGAGAATAAGACTAATTTAATCGTTAAACAGTTAAGCTAAAGTGCATTAAAATATGTACACAATTTCTCACCTACTTTGATTATTGTGAGCGTTTCATCAATGCAACAATATGCTATTATAGGATTCCATAAATAGGATCTGTTCCAGTTTCCTTTGTTCCAATAACAGCAGCATATGTGTATGTATTTTCTTAGAACTATATTCTGTGTACCCGATGAAGTATATCATGATCCTCAAAAGTTTATGTCAAGATAAATTGTGCAGATATTCAGGAGATTTATTTTTTGTTTTTTTCTATAAAAAGACTAAATGCAGATAGTTTTCTCTGTTTATTAATCTATTTTTAAATCTAGAGTTAGATCTATTCATCTATTTTTGCAATTTATTTTTATGTGATTTGTTGCATTTCTGTTTTCTATTACTTAACACAGACATTTTGATACAAAAGTACATTTTGAATACATTTTGAATGTATTTTTCAGCTGTCAGTTGCATCATGACATTTTGAAAAGTATAGATTTGGATATGGCAAAGAAGTCCTTTCTACCAATAGGGATGGTATTCATACATTAGATAAATTTGTGCAAAAAGGAGAGCTTAATTGATGTCTCTTCTGGGATATGCAGAGCTTTGAGAGGGTGATTCATTTCATTGATCATTCAAGTGAACATCTGCTTTAAAATAACTCTTGGAAACAAATATGTGTCCTGCTTTTAATTAGCAAGAGAGAGCAGATAGTTGCAAACTGCACTGATGATGTTACCTAGTTTGGGTAATGAAACATCTGCCAGAAAACGAGCAAGCTCGGGGAGCACCAGGGACCCCTCAGAGCAGATATGTCTTGTCTCTCAATAGCACAGGCATGATACATGTATAGAAAGGATCTTAAATTGGAATGAGCACTCAAAGAAGGATGGTTCCATCCTTTTCTATCAAGAAGCACTGCACTTTTACAAGGAAGCAATTTATGAAACTGATTTGCCTCAGGGTGAAAGTTACTATGACTAACTCCTAAAATGTGTCATTAAATTTCAGCTTGAACAATATAGTTAGTATCTCAAAGTAAATATACTTATTATAAAAAGAATATAAAATACCAACAAGAAAAACTTACCTCAAAACAATCTCCTTCACTAAAATCAAAAGACAGAATGAGTTCCACTTTTCTTTCTGGACGCAAGATAAGGGGGTAAGCAGAATTTATGACTATGCCAGCATCTGCCAACTGAATATCTGTCTTATCAGTCATGTTTTTGTCCTTCAGGTCAACTAAGGGCAGAGAACGAAATATTTTCTTTATCATTTATCCATAGAGATCACTTTGAATATTCAGTTACATGATAAAAACCTAATCTGGAGCCATGAAAATGGCTCATTCTCCCATATATCTAAATTCTTAGCTCTGATAAGCATTATCCTTTCCTCTCTTGGGTACAAAATAAAATAATTCAAAATGATTGAGAAGTTATTGTAATATTATTCTAGTGTTATACTTACATTAACAATCACTTCTAAATATATTGTACCAAATCCCATCAAATGTCTACAATGAACTTTTTCTGGTTTAAGCACATAAAATGAGCTCTTTTAGATAATTCCAGATACTTATCTAATCCAATTCAGTGATTAGGAAGCACATAAATGAAGATTTACTCCATTGCTACTCTTTAGAAACTGACTTTTTAAGTACATCTTTGCTCATGGCATTAGAACACAGTTATCCAGTAGCCATTTTGTTAAAATTATTTCTTTTAACTGGTTCATACTTTGGATGTCAGGGAACTACTGTATTAGTTGGCATTTTAAACATGTTCTTCAAATATTATGTTGCCAGTAATTTGGTGTAGTTAAGATGCTAGGTCTAGAAACCAAAAGATTGTGAGTTCGGGTCCCTTCTTAGGCATTAAAACTGACTGACTCTGGTCTAATCACTTTCTCTCAGCACAAACCATCTCGCAGGTTTGTTTAGTGGAGAAGGGAAGGAGGAGGAAGGAGCATAATATGTGTTCACACCTTGAATTATTAATAAAGTAATAAAGGTGGTGTAAAAAGCAAATAAATAAATAAATAAATATGCTAGACAACATTTAATTTTGCTTTGCTTGCTGAGAAAAGTAAACATATATATTCACCTCACAATTATCTCAATAGTTTAAAGCATCTAGACTCATAGTGGCGAACCTATGGCACGGGTGCCAGAGGTGGCACTCAGAGCCCTCTCTGTGGGCATGCACGCTATTGCCCCAGTCCTAGGCCTTCAGCTGGGTTTTATAAAACCTTTTTGCTTTAGGCCTTCACCACCGTGTACAAAAAAAAAAAGGTTCAATCAATCAGTCAATTTCAACTTCTCGCAGGAAAAAAAAAGATCTTGCAAAGTTGGAATTGACTGATTGAACTTTTTAGTCCCACCCGTTACCACTGCAGCCATGCCCACCCAATGGGCCATACCCACCCAGCACTCCGTCTCTAAAAGTTTTGCCATCACTGATCTAGACATTCTTGCTTGATTTTGGAAAGTAATCAGATTTAAGCATGTTTAGTATTTGGATGTGAACCACATGGAAATTTCTAGGTAATTTCTATTTATAATAGAGTTTAAAAAGTGGACATAACGTAACGTTCCAATATAAATATTTCTAACAATTTGTTCCTCTTCTTACATATAGTTCTTTATCTCTATATATACATATATATATTTCTATACAATATCTAATTTATTTCTCTATTTACTAACCTAAAATTATATGTATTTCTATCTTAACACTAGACTATAACCTGGACAATCCTCCTTGATTCACACCAATAGTAGAATTTGTCCCAGATTTTGAAGTAATCTGATTCAGTCTTGTCCTTCAGTTCCATTGTGAGCCTGTCCATATCGGTTCACAATATTTATACTGGAATGTTATGTTATGTCCTCTTTTTTTTAACTGTATTATAAATAAAAAACTTTTTATAAAAGAAAAAAGAAATTACTAGGTAATTTCTTAAGTAGGAAAGCCATTTCTGTAACCCTGCCAAGAAAACTGTATGAGTGTAATTAATAGGATTTAATTTTAACTTAAGAATGTATTTGTCATTTTTTCTCTTATCATAAAAGATTGTCACAACTGAAGAGAAATAAATTTAAAAGCATATGCATTCATATTAATTTAAGTTATTCTTACTGCATTTGTAAGTATAGTTAGAGATGTTTCCCCATTTCCATTTACAGATACAAATAGTTTTGTACATAAATTTCACGATATCCCATATATCTGAAAAATAATAACAATAATATTAATAATATGACAAAACAATATCCATTCATTTAAATATTTTTCCATTTAGTACTTATATACACAATCCCATACACTCCCATATACACAATCACAATTTTCTAGGGAACCTATGAAAAACAAACTTGCTACTGTGGCTTCGTTACAAATAGCTAGCCTGAAACCTTGGTTAAAAATGTAAAAATCAAAATTTGGTAAATACTTTGCATATAAAAGAAAGATGAAAGTATTAAAATATGCATGGAAAATAATATTTAATTGAATATTTAATTAAATGTATTATTTATAAAAGGAAATTAATGTAGTTGTCCCAACTTCACTAGGGGTTTTTTTTTTTTTTTTGAGTTTATTCTTTGACACATGTTTCAAAGCTTAAACCACAGTCCTAGTCTAGAAAACACTATTACACTCCATAATTTTCTCATCCCATAAATTGGTCAACTTGATGGTTAAAGATGAAGCTATTTATCATCTACCTAGAATATTAATGATGAGCTCACCATGTCCAAGATGTTGTATGGGGAACTCCCAACTTAACTCCTGCATAGTAATCTTCTCTGTACTCTCTTCCAGTTCATTTATGACTATCAGAAGTATGAAATCAGAGCAATAAGTGTTTTAATGAACAGCTTTTAATATTATAAACATTAGTTGTGATGGCTAGTTCTGAAATTCTGGTAGTAAATTAACACTGAGGGTGCTGTAACTTTTTCTGACGTAAAGGCCGCAGAAAAAGTAGTTTGTTATTTTTGAGGTCAAAAGTGCCCCCAAAAGAAATAAAGGTAAGCATACAATCTGACCTAATTTTATGTATATTTCAACTGAATTTTAATTGATTATAGATAATATGACTACACCCCAGTGAAATATATAATACATTTCCTTATCTATCTGCACTATAAAATGCAATTTAATAAAAAAATATCAATAGTCATTTTAGGGCTCTACATATTTAGCAAATGGAAAGATAAAACCTGTTTCAATAATTCATTTACCACAGCAGAATAAAACTGCAAATAGTCATTAGAGGCTGCAGTTATGTTTTATGAATTTTCTTTTAACAGCTGAATGAGGCAAGGTCATGAGAATGGCAGTACTGTTAATAAACATTTAAAAGAAAAATTGGCATATCTGAAATGACAGTGTTCTGTTTTTTTCTTCCTTTTCTTTAAACTTTGTTTATGGATTCCAATAGTTTCAATTATAGAGTTCTAGAGGAACAGTGGTCTGCAAGGGGAAAGGGCAATAAATGTGCGTAGCAAGTAGCAAGGTCATACAGCAGTGATATACATGTACATATGTTGGAATTTATCTATTTATTAAAGTTCCATATATTGCTAAATAACCAAGACTGTGCAAGGATTTGATTTGAAGATTCAAAGCAAAGGCAATTCAATCATGTCATTAAGCTAGATTATTTGATATGTTCAGTGGGTGACTATAGATCGATTGGAGAAAAATTGTACAACAAAGGGAAAATTCAAATCAAAATCATTCTTCCCTGATCCATCCTATTCATTTTAACTCTCTTTTTTCCAGAATTTCAAAGCAGATGTAGTCTTTCAGACATAAATAAATCTTTATGAATGTATTTTCAAGGTGAATATCTTACAGCTATATCTAGATACAATTTTAGGGAGTTCCAAGTTACTTTTTTTCCTCACAATTTAAAACAGAGAATGAAAAATTTAAGGAAACTAATTCAAATAACAAATATCCAAATCATTGTGGCAAAATAGCAAACAATATAAATCTTAGAACTACATTTTCATATTTCTAAATTTATTTCTAATTCAGCCATGAAAATGACCATGAGGATGACATTAATGTACAGTATATATGATACTTACTTGTTGTAATTTCTTTGTGACTGATGATTCCTTTTTTTTCAGCTGGGCAAATATATAAATAATTTAAAAGAATGTCACTGAGATGAAAAGTTAATATGCAGTAAAATGATTTTACAAGAAAACAGTTGTACCAAGGTTCTTGTAGAAAGAACCTATTCTAATTCTGTATATTCTAGGCCACCCTTAAAAACTGACTGGTTGACTTTGAGCCAGTCACTCTGTCAGCCTAACTTTGCAGGGTTATTGTTGTAAGAAACATAGAAAGCAGGGGAGATAGTAGTAGTAGTAGTAGTAGTAGTAGTAGTGGTGGTGGTAGTAGTGGTAGTAGTAGTCGTCATCATCTGAATAGTGGACATGGCAGTGCCTGGAGTCAGCAGAATAGACAAGAAAGAACTGGAGAAGATAACAAAATACAAAGACCTACAAACAGAAATAGAACTGTGGCAAAGGCAAGCAAGGGTAGTACCAATAGTAATAGTTGGCTTAGGTGCACTGGAGCACCACTTGAACACCATTGGCATTGACAAATTTGCCATCAGTCAATTGCAAAAGACAGCTTTACTCGGAATAGATTTCATCTTACAACAATAACTGTAACTCTATTCAACATCCAGATCTGCCTATCCCAGGTCTTTGGTAAGGATTTGATAGGTAGACAAAAATGCCAAACCCAGTCTGAATATCTGGATGACTGTGCAATTATTATTATTACAACAGGAAGAACTTAAGCACCATCAAACACAATGGAAAGAAGTGGTCTGTAGGACAGTTTTAAAATATATACATTGTGAATCATATTTACCTGTAAATTCTAATTGTAAAATCTCAAGCAGTTTCAAAAAATGTTTTCCACTTTCAGTTGGGTCTAGAGAATAATCGATTTCCTTCAGGCTACAACAAAAGTTGTAGGTATCACTGGGTCCTTTGTCTTTTGAATATAATTAGAGATGGGAATAATAGATTAAAGCATTAAACTTACCATGCCATCAAATCTTTGGAACCTCTACTATTTATACTTCTGAAATTGCATACCAGATAATACTTCCAAAAGTTCTTCCAAACTGAATTTACTAAATTTTATAAAACAAACTAGAACTAAGATAGATGCAGGTAGAACAATGTTAGCAGATTATTGGCTGGAGAATTCTGAGATTTGTAAATCCAACAATTGTGGAAGGCTCAAAGATATCCATGGGGGAAGTCCAAAATATTATGATGCCATCCATGATCAAAGCCTCACAGTTTTTTATATGATTATACAATGAGCCCAACATCTTTCTTTTTTGGGATCTCCCCCCCCCCCCAAGGAGGCACTCCTACAAAGGGCACTTTAGTTGTTTCAATTAATGAATCAATTCACAGGCAACGATACAAAGATCTGAAAATGTATAGTGAATGGTATTGCTGTTAGTCTGTTTAACATATTTCCTTTTCTTCTTATCACATGGATTATTTTTTTTTGCTTATTATTTCTCTTCTATTACTATAGAGAAAAACAACACTTCACTTTGCATTTTGTATAATGCTGCTTATCTCAAAAGAGAGGAAAAGAATAGATAGAACTATAGACATGCACATATATACTTTAATTGCCATTGAATTTGTTTTGTTTAGTGAGGGCAGATGGATTTTGAAAATCCAATAGATAGTCTGATGCAAAGCTCAATCTAAAGCTAAATGAAATGGACAAGAGAACTCTTTCACCTTTTCAACCAGATACACACATCTAATTCCACAAGAGAATTCACTACTATGTTCTTGCTGGCAGGAATTCATCTTCTAATTATGCATCAAAAGAGGAAGCCACTACCAAAATCATGATGAACATCACAGAAATAGAACCAAAAACTAAAACCCACCATTCTTTAAGGTCAACTTACTTTCTAGGATTTCAATAATGTTTGTGATATGCTTCTTAGCATCTGCATATGTTTTAGTTTCCATAATACATGCTTGGCTTTCCATAATATGCTGAGAGAAATGTGTTATCTCTAAAGCAACTTTACAATAGTCACAGGTACATCTGTATTCTTCAAAAACAGAATGAAATTGTTGAATTATTTTATATCTACAAAGTGAGTGCTCATTTCTTAAAATACAGTATATATAAAAATATCTTGTCCAACCCCAACCAGATTTCAAGCTACAGTTCAGTTTTTCAGAGAATATTCCTTCCTTAACAAGTTGTTTTTTGTTTTTTAAAAAATATGATAGCCCTGTAATTGCCAGGTCATATTATGATTCTGAGTGAATGGCAATGGATTGTAAAAGCAGCCAGACTATCATCTGAAGCAAGAAGAGAAGCTTTGACTCTTGCTGGAAAGAACAATTAGTAAATTAAGGACTATCTATATAGCCATCTTTAGTACACCTAGGCCTAGCAGTTGTATGCTTCCTTAAGTGCTTCAACTTAAGGATGTTTTTACCTGTAAGGCAAAACATTTCTTGTTAAGATAATTGACATCATTTTGGAACCTTCTCTGGTGGTTGACTAGCTGGATGCGATTTTTGTGCATGTGCAAAAATCCCTTTTTCCAGCACCTTCAGGTGATGATGAAAAGTGGCGTTTGAAGAACTGAACAAAAAAAACCCACTGAAAAAATTCCTCTATCATTTTGACTTCTACTGTCCTAATCATTTTTTTCTCATAGTATCATAGTTTCCTAACTTAAATATTGGCCATGGCTGCATTCTCACAAGCTGACATCTCTATTTTTGGTTCTTTAGACCAAAAAGCTACTATCGATATTGCATAAAGCAAACACAGGGATTTAAATGTGATAAAAAGAAAATGGTTTTCTTTTGAAGAGATCTGATGTTGTGTATTTCAGACAAGCTGGGGAATTTACCTGATGCTAGATAATGAGAAATCATCTTCTTAATGATATCTAGAAATGTAATAGAGTTAACAGTTCAGTTTATAAATATGTCCACAACCTCTTTTAAAAAATATTACACTTCAGAAAATAACTTTTTCTATATCAACCTATCTATTATTTAACATCATTTTAAGATTATCCTGCCATGTAAATACCTGAAAGTTATTATCTTCAAATTAAGACTTGGAAATTTCTTTTTTGATGACTTGCCAGGACTGTTTTATTTGATAGTTTTAATGTTTTAGTTAACGGGTATGTTTATTTTCTTGGCAGTTTTAATGGATTTTTTTCAATCTGTTATCCAGCTAGGCCGGTTCTAAAATCTTTTAATCTAACATAATTTAATTAGAGATCAAAACTCCAAGGAGCTCAGAAATATGTATCTGCTCCCTTACTTAAAAAATAATCAGCAACAACATAATTTTAAAACTGCAGTAAAATAGATTGCAGGATGATATAAGAGAAAAGCAAGCTTAATCTATCCTACAATCCTATCCTGTTCCTATAGCACAGCGGTTCTCAACCTGTGGGTCACGACCCCATTTGGGGTCGAACAACCATTTCACAGGGGTCGCCAAACAACGCAGTCCGCCATTTTTTCCCCTTTTCCTTAGTTGTGCTACTCCCTTTTATTCCATTGGCTTTTGAAAGCCAATAGAATAGACTCTCTTGAATAGAGTCTAATTCTATTGGCTTTCAAAAGCCAATAGGAATTGTCCAGGCTGTCTCTACCCTGCTGAGCCCGCCAAAAGCCCCAGTCTGCAAACGGTGCTGTAAGTTATCTGCCACTAAGGCAAGCTGTCTGGAAGCTTCCACCCCTCCCTGCTGAGTAGCTACTAAAAATGTAAGTAAAAGAGGGCCAGGGGTGGGAGATGGGAGGCCGGCGGGCACAGGGAGGGTTGCTGGCACACATGGGGCCTGGTGGGTGCCTTACCTCCCTTGGGCTGGACCAGCTGTTGGCCCAGCCGGTGGTCGCCCTGTGCCGTCACTGCCCCTTGCCAGGTACGCCTCGGCCAGCGCAGGGGGCGGCACCATGCATGTGTGGTGCTCCTGGGCAGGGAAAGTCCTCAACTTATGACCGGTTGGGTAGTCCTTGACTTACGACTGGTTGGGTAGTCCTTGACTTACGACCGGTTGGGGTCACGGCATTAAAAAGGTTGAGAACCATTGCTATAGCACAATTACTTCTGTAAGCAGAGTGATGGAGAGGATAGCTCAGTGCGAAAGGATATACCCAAAATCAGTTCAGTCCCCTCATCTGCTATGAAAGTTTGGAAGAAGTTTGGAAGAAACCTCAGTGTGAAATTTTGGAAAGCCACTACTAAACAGTGTGCACTAGTCAGAAGAAAACTGTGGCCTTCCAGTTGTTACTTATACCATCATGTCCAGTTGTGAAAAATGCTGTTCTATTAGAGATATTCAAGTAGAATAGAATAGAGCTGGAAGGGACCTTGGAGGTCTTCTAGTCCAGGCCCCCGCTCAAGCAGGAGAACCTATACCATCTCAGAAAAGTGACTGTCTAGCCTCTTCTTAAAAATCTCCAGTGATGGAGTGCCCATGATTTCTGGAGGCAAGCTGTTCCACTGGTTAATTGTTCTCACTTTCAGGAAGTTTCTCCTTAATTCCAGGTTGCTTCTCTCTTTGCTCAGTTTCCAACCATTGTTTCTTGCCCTATCCTCTTTGGTGAATAATGTGACCCCATCTTCTTTGTGGCAGCCCCTCAAGTACTGGAATACTGCTATCATGTCTCCCCTATTTCTTTTTTAATTCAGATTAGCCAGATCCAAGTCCTGCAGCCATTCTTCATATGTTTTAGTCTCCAGGCCTTTGATCATCTTAGTTGCTCTTCTCTGAATTTTTTCCAAACTCTCAACATCTTTTTTGTGATATGGTGACCAAAATTGGCTGCAGTATTCCAGGTATGTTCTTACTACGGTTTTATAAACAGTACTAATACTTTGCAAGATCTTGATTCTATGCCTCTGTTTATACAAGGATTGCATTAGCTTTTTTGGCTGCTGCTACACACTGCTGGCTCATGGTCAAGTGATCGTCCACTAAGACCCCAAGGTCCCTCTCACTGTTACTGTTTTTATGCCAGGTCTCGCCCAGTCTGTAATTATACCTTTGATTTTTCCTGCCTAAATGTAAAATTTTGCTTTTCTCCTCACTGAAACTCATTTTGTTGGACAGGGTCTATTGTTCAAGTTTGTCAAGATCTTTTTGGATCCTGCATTTGTCTTCTGGGGTGTTGGCTATTCCTGCCAGTTTGATGTCATCTGCAAATTTGATGAGTTCCCCTTCAATTCTCTCATCTTAGTCATTTATGAAGATATTGAAGAGTACAGTTTGCCAGCCAGCTACGGATCCATCTGGTGGTGATGTTGTCTGTTCCACCTTTTTCTAGCTTACCAAGGTCTACTTCATCAAATGTCTTACTGCAGTCTATGTCCACTGTATTTCGCTGGCTACTGTTTATAATTTTGATTGCTTTTTAGTTGTTCGCAGATCTGTTTTTTTAATTATCTTTTCCAGGATCTTCCCAGGTATTGATGTTAGACTGATTGGTCTGCAGTTTCCTGGATCTGTTTTTTTTTCCCCTTTCTTAAAGATGGGAACCACATCAGCCCTTTTCCAATCCTCAGGTATTTCCCCAGTGCTCCAGGATTTTTGAAAGATATGGTGCAATGGTTCTGAGATAATATCTACCAGTTCCTTCAGAACTCTGGAATGTAATCTGTTGGGTCCTGGTGATTTATATTCATCAAGTCGGATAATATTCTCTTACCATTTTCTTGCTTATTTTCATTTTTATTTCTAGTTTGTCTTTTTTGGGTGGTTGTTTTTTTGGGGGGGAGTATGTTAGGCTATAGTTTCTTTTTGTGTGAAGACTCATGCGAAGTATGAATTAAGCAGCTCTGCTTTCTCCTTGTTGCCTGTATTTCAATAGACACTGCTTATCTGGGAAAACAATCTGACTTTATATGAAGAAATTTCCTTTGCCCTTTGCTCTAGAGCAGGGGTACCCAATCTCCGGTCCATGGACTGGTATCAGGCCGCAGCATGCCAGCAACTGGTCCACACAAACAAGCAAAGCCCCATCTGCGGGATGCAGTCAGCACATAAAACTATGCACCTCCGGTCCGCAGAACAACTTCTCTCCATGGAACCAGTCCCTGGTGCCCAAAAGGTTGGGGACCTTTGCCCTAGAGCAATGAGTCATTCCTTCAAGCTGCAATTCTATCCACATTCTGTTCTAAATTCTTCTGTGATCACATTTCCATATAAGAAGGCATAAGTGAGAACTTAATTTATTCACTGCATCCAATATGAAATATAAATACCTATTAAAACTCTCATGTCTTCTTTGAAATTTGCAATAGCACTTCCCCATAATCCTGAAAGAAAAGAAACAGTTTTCTAGAAATTTAGCAAAATGTGCAAGCATATGTTATATCAGATAGCATGTTTAAATGAAAGGCTAACTTGCATTTTCTGGATCAATGTGTGGGCCATTCTTCCAAAAGCAAGACATGGCAATTGAAACACAAGTAAATATGATTCCATTCTATTTAAAATTAAACCAAGAAATATAGTTAATATGACTATCTCAAATTACATATTTATTTAATAATTTTGCCCCTTGGTCATATTAAAAATTTGGACATAATTTGGAGAAGTTTCAGATATTCACTTGTATGTCTCATCTGAGTTATTTGTTATTTTGATTCTTTCCATCACCTCAAAACAACTGTTTTTACTACACTAAAAGCATTCTGGGAACCAGTGATGTCAGCCTGCATTTAGAAGTATTATGCCTGGATTTCCAGACTCAAAATATACATTCTTTCATCTTATTCAAAACTGGTGTAGGTATAACTCTTATAAATAGAAGCTGCATTGAATTCCATTTCTTTTGTCCAACATGTTTTATATCTATATAAAAAGTTAGTGATTGTATATGGCTATATAAGGCTACTTATAAGGATAGTTCCTTTCTTTGAAATCACAATACCTTATTTTCTTATTTTGGGTGTATCTAGCAGTGTGCAGGCAAGCATTATTGTGAACCAACTTCACACCAGAAGTCTGCATGCCCCGATGCTTGTTATAGATGGCTCATCTGAGCTTTTGTAACATTTCACAGTAGACTTCTGAACTGATAGTCAAACCATGCTCCATGAACTTCACTAGCAGTATTCCTTTGGCATCTTCACATTTGGGGGGATTTTCTATGGCACCACTTCCGGTGTGGTGTTGGTTCACAATAATCTTACCCCACGTTTACAGACCCAAGAACTTTTGAAGAAGTTCCATTGTGGTATTTTTGATCACCCCCCCCCCAATAGCCCAGATTTAGCACTGGCAACTATTACTAAGGAATTTCAAACCTTATAAGACATGACAAGTGCCTCAATTTGAATGGCGATTATGTCAAAAAGTAATGTTGTAGTTTTCTAATGTGTATAGTAAAAATTCTGTATCTACAAGTATCTGTCATTGATAACCAAACACATGTTTATTTCCGAATTGCCATAAATTGCAGCCTTATTCCAACACTACTGAGCACTAGTATATTTTTTCTTGTATGCATCATTGCATTTATCCACATTTTATTTGTGATGTTTCAACCATAAGTTTATACACTAATGCCTCTCAAAGACCCTAACACAGCTGCAAACATATCAGTAACCTTGCATAATTTATGTATAATAGTCTGTTCAATATTCCAAACTGGACTGAAGATTCCATGTAGTCTGTGCATATTGTACATCAGTATATCTCCATCAAAAACAATGCTACCTCTTAGATAAGACATTTTCTTTTCATTCTTCTTTTCCTTCAGTTTGTCATTCTCAAACTTGCTTCCAAGGAGAGTCCCATCCACAAATGCTCCAGGGTTAAAGAATCCAACCTCATGTGGTGTAAATTCAAACCAGATATCTTTTAAAATAATTAAAAATTACAATTTGAAGATGTTGAAACTATGATTGCAAAAACAGGGAATCTTTTTTAATATCCTGTTTTTGCATGAAGATTCCCTCAAAGTTTGGAGTCATTTCTTACAGGTTATTTTCCCTTTCTAATAATTCATTTAGCAACCTTTCAAACTTACAATGGCATTAAAAAAGTCAATTACAACCAGTCCTCGTGCTTATGACCATCACTGCATCCCTATGATTACATGATCAAAATTTGGGAGCTTGAAATCATAGGGATGTATTTACAATGGTTGCAGCATCTCAGAGTGATGTGATCACTATTTGTGAGCTTCTCAGCCAGCTTCTAACAAGAAAAAGCAATAGGGGAGGCTAGGTTTGCTTAATAACAGCGTGATTCCCTTAATATCTGCAGTGATTCACTTAACAACTATGGCAACAAGATTATAAAATTTGGCATATATATATATATATATATATATATATATATATATATATATATATATATATATATATTCCAGCACTTATTGATTTCAAAGTGAAAGTTGGGATAAACATAGATAGATTTTAATGTTTACCTGAGTGGATTTCACTTGCAGCAGCATCTAATTTGGTTGAATCCACTGCTGCATAGATTGGGTAAGGCACTATCCCATTCTTACAAATTTTCTGTTCATCAGACAGATGATGATCATCCAGCTGTTGAGAAAGAAGCTTATAAGCAAATAATCCATTTAAATATCTCATGTAAATTACATGGGTTTAATAGGCAGTTTGGTATATGTGAGTTCCGGGACACAGTGAGTTCTTGTCCTGCCTTAGACACAAAGCCAGCTGGGTAATTTTGGACAATCACTCTCTCTCAGTCCTGGGTGGGAGGCAAGAGGAAACCACTTCCAAAATCTTGCCAAGAAAGCTTCAGGGCTTGTCCAAGCAGTGACCAGGAGTCAATATTGAATTCAAGGTACATAAGCATGCTTGTGCAAGCATATTCTCTCTAAGGAAGGAAGGAAGGAAGGAAAGAAGGAAAGAAGGAAGGAAGGGAGGGAGGGAGGGAGGGAGGGGGGAGGGAGGAAGGAATCTTGGAGCATAAATCCTGTGATAAATTACTTCAGTACTGCTACTTAGAAATTTTCATGGCAAAATCTCTTCCATGCAAAAATCAAGCACAGGCTGAAGGAAACTTTAATTGTCCTGTTAGTACAAAAGTCTATTTTAGAAAAGGGATTTTAATCAAGTGTAGATCCGTATAGGGAAGACTTAAGTTTTATAAATATTGTTATTCCACTAATCAGTCCTCTCTCAATTGAAGCTACTATGTTAAAATAAGAAAGGAAAAAAATCTCTTTTATCACATTTAACTTTACAGACAAAGGATTTCTCTCTGAGAGTCCAATGAAAATTTCATATGCTTAGAATATTCACTACTGATACTCTTAGAAAAAAAGTGAGAAATTGAAATGGAATGGAATGGAAGAGAATGAATTGGAACATTCCACTCCATAATATTAAGTATAATCTCATTTTTTCCACTATTAGATTAATAATTTTCATTTTGCTTTCTTCCATAAGAAAGTAATTGTCTGTTATTCTTTCTCCCTCCCTCCCTCCCTCCCTCCCTCCCTCCCTCCCTCCCTAAAACAGTTGTGGTAAGGTATAGTGAAAAAAAAAGGGGGGGTTATGCAAAAGGTATTGTTTTTTGAGAATATTTGCATGTTTGCTTCTTAAATTAATTAAAACGGTTATAGCATCCATCATATTTCTAGGGAACAACAAAATATTTCTTAAAAGGAATTATTTATACTCACTTCATGCATTATTATGTAAACTATAACATAACCCCAAAAATCAGTTAAGGAGTATGTGTCATCTTTACTTGACTCAATCAGACTTTTTAAGGCTTTCTTCCAGTCCTGGAGTGGCTTTACCAGTTTGTGACACAACTTATCTTCCAAACTTTTTAGCTGTTTGTTCCATTCTTCAGTTTCATAAACGTATGACATACACCTTGAAAATAGATACAACTGTTGGCACAGCAATGGCAGAGGATCACACCCAATCTGAAAACTAAGGGTGAAAAAGGCATATTTCCCAACTTTTCTATTTTGCCTGAGATAGTGGCAGTCATGCTCTTGCCCAGAAAAATATGTCCCAGGAAATCCCAATAATCTTTTTAGTTCCTATTTCAGGAACAGGAAATAGTGGTTATCAGAATTCTGAACAGAAAGTTAAAAAGAGTGACATGTGGGCTTGATGTATATCTCATTGGAGAAAATAGGTCATGCAAGAGTTCTTCCCATCTGGATGGCTGTGGGAGTGACTAATATATACATATGAAACTACTAGCCAGATATTTAAGGTTGGTTTACTCAGAAGCGTTGCTTAATGAAAAAGTGATTTATTTTCCTTCCAGCTATGGTTCTACCCTCTAAAATGCAATTGCCATGTCATAGATTCACCCACCTATAGCCTGCAGAATTGGTAGAGACAATTTTATCTGGTCCTTTGCTTTTTGTTCAACTGCTATGTCTATAAATGTATAAATCATTCACCAATATAACTTGTTGCCACTTACCACGTAGAACCTGATACTCCACCAATATACATCACTGTATCCAGAAGACATTGTTCCTGCATCTCTTCCAGTGTTCCCAGCAGTGCAATCATAGCCCTCAGGCCTCCACCTGAACCCAGTATGGCAATATTGGGGACATTGTCCTGGGACCAGAGCAATAATTATTACTTTTGATAACATCCACTAGTCCAGTGTTTCCCAAACTTGACAATTTTAAGGCATGTGGACTTCAACTCCCAGAATTCCATAGCCAGCGTTGCTGGCTGTGGAATTCTGGGAGTTGAAGTCCTCAAGCCTTAAAATTGTCAAGTTTGGGAAACGCTGCACTAGTCATTTAAATACTTTTTAACAAGTTAAACACTGAACACTTAAATATTTTATGAACAGAAAAGGAAATCATATATTATATATTTATATATCATCTTCTATATCTATATCCTTTCTAATTATATATATATAGATCCACACACTACATACATGCATGCATACATATATCTCTTTATCTAAAATAAGTTGAAAAGATTCCCATGTGTTATTGTTATTAATTTTTATTTTTATTTAACACAAAGGATAATATATATCTAAATACATATCTTTTATTTCCAATTCAGTTCAAGATAGGGACACATAAAACCAATGGCAAAAGTCATTTGTGATAGCCTTAAAATTTAGAACCTAATTTTAGATCTAATATCATAACATAATGTGTCTTTTGTCTTTTGAAATTTAGTATGTCATCCTTCTACTACTTTTTCTCTTCTGTTTCCATCTGTGAAATGATTCTATTCATGTGTAACTAATCACAAAAAGTTAAAATGACCTATGAATATCATTGCTTTTTGTACCACAAATTCCAAACTCAGACTGTACTCAGACACTTATTAATATGTAATAATGTTTGTTAATGTGGCTAAATGTATTGTATCAAGCCAGTTTTTACAGTTTGTAAACTATGGTTTATAGCTTAGCATGTAGTGTGAACCCAGCTATTATAACTTCATCAACAAACTATCATGAAACAAGGCATGATTTAGTACCTTGTATGAATTCAGCACAAAAATTCACTTTTCTCAATTATCAAGCTGCTGTTGAAATGTATTTAAGATTCATTCAAATATTTTTCATTGTTTCCTACTTTCCCAATTCATTCTTCCTTTTAATTTCTCATGTGGATCCATTTATTTCTGGCCTACTGTTATCTAACTTTTTTAAATCTTTTCTTTAACCAATTTTAATAAATTTTAGTTCAACCTCAATTTTGCCAGCCTGACTACAATATAAGTTTATGTATGGACTTGACATATGCTTTCCCCAAACACATTTTAAGTAGATCACTACTGGTGATTTTATCAACAATGGAGCCATTTGTTTCTTGCTTTCCCTACCAAAGAGCCATATGCTGTACAGTTCCTCTTGTGTCTCCGAACTCCTAGTTGTAGCCCTTTAAGGTCTTTCAAGTTTGCTTCTGAATTGTGTTTGAATGTAGGGAAAAAAAGTGATTTACTACATAGTGATTTACTATGTAGTATATCATTATGTTGCTTATTAAGGGGTTTAACTTAAATTAAATCAACATTAAATTAAAGTAAATTCTGGCTCGTCCCCTCCCCCAACACTCTTAGCATACCATTAAAATCTCATAGTTTGAAAAAAAAAAGAGGCTGCATGTCAGTATAGAGTATCAATTTTTACCATGGAACATTCAATGTCATGCTTCTGAAGACATTTTTTCACTGTGCATTTTCTTGCTTCTACATGTTGTTTTTCATGGTTTGATATATCTCTGGAAATCCGGATAAGGCCACTATTTGGAAAGAAATACAGAAAGGCAGAAATCACTCATTGTTCAAACACTCCTTATCTACAAGGTCATTTAAAGAGTTCAAGTGTGAATAGAATAGAATAGAATAGAATAGAATAGAATAGAATAGAATAGAATAGAATAGAATAGAATAGAATAGAATAGAACTGGAAAGGACCTTGGAGGCCTTCTAGTCCAGCCCCCTGCTCAAGCAGAGGACCTATACCATCTTAGACAGGTGATTGTCCAGTCTCTTTTAAAAAACATCTAGCGACGGAGTGCTCACGATTTCTGGGGGTAAGCTGTTCCACTGGTTGATTGTCCTCACTGTCAGGAAGTTTCTCTTTGATTCCAGGTTGCTTCTCTCTTTGATCAGCTTCCAACCATTGTTTCTCAGTTTTTTGATTATTTTTTCTAGGATCTTCCCAGATATTGATGTTAAACTGATTGGTCTATAGTTTCCTGGGCCTGTTTTATTTTTTCATTTCTTGAAGATGGGGACCTTTTCCAATCCTCAGCTACTTCTCCTGTGCTCCAGGATTTGTGGAGGATGTGGTACAATGGTTCTGAGATAACATCTGCCAGCTCTTTCAGAACTCTGGGATGTAATCTGTCAGGTCCTAGTGATTTGTGTTCATTAAGATTGGATAGATGTTCTCTTACCATTTGATTTTTGTTTCTAGTGTGTTTTTCGCAGTAGCTTTTTTTTTTGTGTGTGTGTTGGGCTATGGTTTCTTTTTGTGTGAAAACTGATGTAAAGTTGAGTTAAGCAGCTCAGCTTTCTCCCTGTTGCCTGTAATTTCCTTGCCATCTTCTCTCTTTAGTGGGCCTACAGTTTCATCGACTTTTTTCTTGTTGTTAATGTGTTTACTTTTTTTATTGTCCTTGATTTCTGTTGCAAGTCTTTGTTCATTGTGAGCCTTTGCTTTCCTGACTTCTTCTTTGCGTGTTCTGGCTGTCTGCTAATAATCCGCATTGGTTATGTGCCCCTCTTTCTATTTTTTGTATTTGTCCTTTTTGTCTTTTAATTTGTTAGTGTGATCTTTGTGCAGCCATGCTGTTTCTTCCTGGATTTCTTGTTTTTTCCCCTCAATGGTATTGTGCCAATCTGGGCTTTTTTTATTGTGTTTTTCAGGGTTCCCACACTTCTTGGGTTGTTTTCCCCTTTAGGATTTTCATCCATGGGAAGTTTCCTAGGTCCTTTGAGCTTGTCAAAGTCAGCTCTTTTGAAGTTTAGGACATTGGTTGGATTGTTTTCTATCGCTAGTGTTTGCATTATATTAAATTGTCACTTTCACCCAAGGTTCTAGCAATTTTGATTCCCTCTATCACGTCTTCTCTATTTGTAAGGATTAAGTCCAGTATAACTTTGCATCTAGTTCCCTCCTCCATCTTTGGGGTGACAAAGTTGTCAGTAGGTTGGTTAGGAATCTGTTTGATCTCTGGCTCACTGCAGAGTTTGTCTCCCAGTTGATATCTGGATAGTTGAAGTCTCCCATTACTACTGTGATGTGCTTCCTGCATACATTTATTAACTGGTTGGCAAAGAGTTCATCCAAAGATACAATTGCTGGTGTGGGTTTTTTTTTTTTTTTTTTTTTTTTTTGCTTGTAGTTCATGTTATTAAAAAGTTAGAAACAAAGATTGAATTCTTAATTGTTTTCTAAATGATTATATCTGCAATTTCAATTTTCAGAAAGCATATGTCAAGTCTGTAATAAACTTATATTAGATAGGCTGGGAAAATTGAGATAATTAGAACAGTGAGAATGTAGTGGTTTGTAAATTAAAAAGAAGAAAGAGGAAGTATAATTGACAAATATCCTCTTTGGTCATCATCAAGAGCAGGTGTCAGCTGAGTAGCAGAAGTCAATATTAATTCTCATATGTTTGTTAACATGCATTAATATATAATGATGCTGATTAATCAAAATTAATAGAAATTACACTAATCAAAATGTTAAAGACACTTTATGAACATATTTTACTGAAACCAAAAGTTGAACTAATGGATAGAACCACTTCTTATCTGACAGATCAACCACCTAAAAGCTAATTGTAATTTAGTAGATTCCTCTGATATCTGGGGTTGTTCTAGGATCAGGATCATAGTTGTTCATTGTGAGTCATTTCAGTTGGGCGTTCAATACATATATAAAAATATCATAATCATATTGTAACAGTTATGGAATTTATATCCTCCCTTCTTGGCAAAATATTGACATGATTGGATATATAATTCAAATGTTAATAGATTGTCACTTTGATGGGGCAAATTAGCATTAAGGTTTATACCTGCAGTTTCAATAAATATAAATCAAGAGAGAATGTTATAATATTTTCTTTACCTGCTGGTAGAAGCTGACAGTTTAGAAAATCCGTCCTTGAAAAAGAGAGAGAGAGATTTTATAAATTTTGCACTGACAACAAATTCAGTCAAATTTTATACTGTTCAATTAATTCCTGACAGTGCAATATCTTCAATGTCCTTTTTTTTTAAAAAAAAAATATTTGAATTTTCAATACATATAATACTTTCCATACATTATATATAAAACTAAAAAAAAGAGAAAAATACCTTTAAAATAAGACCTTAGGTATCTTCAATATTGTTTAGCATGAAGAAATAGATGCTAAGTATCACTGAGAGGACAGTCACATTGTCTAAGTGTAAAGGTTTGAAGTTGATATAAGACATTTTGGTGTCCTTTTTCCCACTGCTTTAGGGCTACCGAAGGGTCAAAAACTAATTCTCATTTTCAGCAATCATGATTACAAGAAACTCTGGAGTTGCAAAAGGAAATGTTGAAGTCATATACTTCACTTTTATTAAGCTGAAATTTCCATAATTCTGAAGGCAGTAAACAATGACATGTTTCAGGTAATAAATAAATTACATAGATTCTTACCATTTTTCTTCTCAGTTTTTTTTCTTTGAATAACCTAAAGATTTCAGATATTTCTGTGGGAAAGAAACATTTTCAGAAAATATTCCACTATACCATTACAAAGTTTTGGTGCTATTGTTATATTATTATTATTGTTGTTTGTTGCACAGTCAGTCACATGTTTAGAATGGATTTAGCATTCTTATCTACCTATTGAGTCCTTTCCAAAGACCTAGGATAGGGAGATGAGCTTAAAATATCAGGATGAAAGCTGTCCATGTAAAGCTATCTTTTGCAGTTGACATGATGATTGTGTCAATGTGGATGGTGTTCAAGTGGTGCTCCAGATGTTTTGAGATTGCACCTAAGGTGACTGTTACTATTAGTACTATTTTTGCTTTATTTAGCCACAGTCATTCTACTTTTATTAGCAAATCTTTGTATTTTGTGATTTTTCTCCAGTTATTTTTCTTCTATTCTGCTGCTCCAGATATTGTCAACTCAAGTTTTTTTGTCTTTCTTATCAATAGTTATTTAATCTGGGATGTTACTTGGCAGATACTTATTATTCTTTTTTAATTGAACTATTTTAAATAATTAAATAACTGGAATTTTGTACAGTGAGTAAAGTATACAATCACATGCAATTTCATATTTTAAATATTGGAGAATTTTACTGCATTTCTATGTGTGATGCTATTTTTCTTTAGATGCCAGAAGAATGAATTAGTCAGTATGGCACTATTCAAATGGATAGAAATAATTCTGGTTTTGGAAGAGACGGTTTTTGAAGGTTCAAGTAGTTACTACTTTTAGTATTCAGAAACCTGTCCATAACCTTAGCATAGTTTGTTTCAGCAATTTCCACTGAAAACTTACATCCACTGAACTCTTACATTTTAAAAACTACACATAATAAGAAATAAAAATAAAGAATAAAAGATAGTAAAGATGACACTATAATAGTTCCAGAGCTCCTTCCCTGTACATGTGGATTATTTTGGTGTAGTTGGGAATTTTGAAATAGCAACAAGTGTGAGTTAAATGATATAAAATATTTTCATTTGAAAATTCCAACTATAAGGCACTAGTCAAGTCTAGTCACCCACTATATGGGAGATATAGAGAAAATATATGTTTAAACTCACAAGAGATGCAAATGAAGGAGTAAAACAATTTGCTGAACATTTGATATATTATACATCAGCATTTATTTTACAATTAAAGGTAGTTTGAACACTTTTCAAGTAGTCATAACTTTGTATTCTGTCCCTGGTGCTCTTCCAATCAACTTGGCTCAAACAACCTAGTAAATTTAACATTTGATAAAATGAGATTTTTTTTTCCCTTTCACAACATAAAAAAGAAAATTATGAAAGGAATTACTACAAAGAATGAAAATGACAAGCCAGGAACCTGTAGATCCAAGACTAGTATAGATTAATATATTTTAAAGTCATTAAGACAATGGTGAAATATCTATCATCTGTGTTGTATCACAGATGATAGAGCAATAAATATGTGTTTACCTCTGATATTGCACTACTATTCTGGTTGTATATGGTTTTATTTTTGCTAATAGCAAAGAGTCCATATCTAGTCTGTGAGCCTTCTGACTCACAATTAGCCTAATAATGGTCTAATTGTTTAAGGGCTAAAAGATAAAGACATGCATGATGAAAAATATATTTTGCTCTTATATCTCATTAAAAGTTACAATTTTGTAACTACCCTTACAGTATCCATTATAAATTTTTTCAAGGCCTTTGGAAAATAAATGTGCTTTGGAGTTTCAATATGCTACTTTTTTATTTGCAAATTTAAAAAGGTTTAAGGTTCATTGAAAAAATTTAATATATAAATTCTGCATGCTCTCCTCTATGATTTATCTCCAAAATATACATATGCATGTGGCATGAGTTATATGTTAGTATATGGAGATTCATATTCAGATGGATAATGCACAATAATCTGTGACATTAAACTGAACTATAAACCCATCCATCTGTGGCAGAACATGGTACACAAGTCATGATGGTACTCTAATTCTTTTTCTGTTATACAAGTTTCCCTCAAGCACAATAAAGGTTATCTATAGAATTGTCTTCATTTCAT